CTTCTTGAAGCTGCTATGCAAATCCACGACTCAACAAGTGTTGCTCTGTTTATGGTTTTTTTTTTTCTTTTTTTTTCGCAAGCCTGAAAATAATTTTTCCAGGTTGATACTCTCAACGAAAGCACCAATTGATACAACCCTGAGGTTGTATGGGTTGCTCTTCTTCGAGTCAAGAGCCAAACTCCATGGCTGTGCTTCGAGTGACAGCCGAACTCCCATTGACTATACTTCGAGTGATAGTCTAACTCCCAAAATGTCTCCAGACATCCATAATTATATTCTTCATTCATATTCTCCAAATACACAGATAGCTATATATATACAGGATAATAGAAACTATCTACTACCCCTGTATCCCACTACTTATAACTACCCATTATTCCACTATAAACTAATTAAACCACTAATAATAATAATAATAATAATAATAATAATAATAATAATAGTATTGCAGATGGTTGTATCAGAGAACGAGCAAACTACTGCACAAATGCACTGCAACTACTCCACGAATGCACCACATCTACTTAATAAGGCGCTCTAGAGGACAGACAGAGACATTTGACGAAGCTGGAGTAGTTGCAGTGCATTCATTCAGTTTGCACGTTCTCACCTAAGAAATGATTCTCATATGATCATGAATATATATAATTTAATATATAGATTATTTACATCTTCAATTCGATCTGAAATCTATTCATTTCACAAACTAAACAATATATAGAATAGAATTCTTATTTTATTCTTTACTAATTTCATTCCTTATGAAATATGATTCATATTCTTTCAAAATTCATTCCTTGAATCAAATATGTTGTTAAGGATTATACATACTCAAATCTCAAAAGTTTTCATGTCCTTGCTCTGAAACTTTTGATGAAGTAAATAAATTGCAAGTAATAGATCAAATTTCTCACAGTGTTGTGGCTGCTAGCTAGTGATCGATTATAAACTATTAAATTTTTTTTTAATTAATTAACTAGTTAAGGTGTATCCTAAAATCACTATATGAGAATATTGTTGCTATTGTAGATAATGTTCTATTCAAAGTGGTAATACTATATACATGATGATAATAACTAATCAAGCTAAACAGTTGAAATCCAATACCTACAGTTAGGTCTAGCTGATGCTGATGATCTAGATATATATAATAGTATGGAAGTATGCATGGGTTTCTAGTTTCTACATACGCTTACGACATTTTATTCCTATACACAATAATAACATAAACTTGCTTAACTTAGTGGCAGATCCAATAATAGTTTTTTATTCACAATATTTTAAGATCACAAGCAAACATGTTTCAACAACCAATTAAGCCACTACCAATCATTTACTAAAATTCAACAATTAATTTAAGGTTTACAATCATGAGATTGGAATTTAATTTTTTTTTAGTTAAATAAAAAAATATTGTTGAAATTATACAGCAAGTCTATGGGACTTTAATTTGGAACCCAACTAGAGCTAGGTATATCCTGGTTTTTGAAGCCCAAAAATCATATCACTAAGATTGGGTGCAAAACTATAAACAACGATAAAACAAGTTACTTCCGCTACCATTACTTCAAATGTTACTTAAGATCCTAACACATGTTACAATCGACTTGGGCCACTAACAGTGCACCGCCAAATCAGGGTGTGTTTGGTTCGCACATAGGAATCGGAATCGGAATGGGTATCAAATACGTGGTAATGGTAATGGGTTTTGGTGAAAATATTTAACATGTTTGGTTGTAGGGTGGAATGGGAATGGTTACTAATAGTAGTGCTTGAAAATGAATAAGGGAATGAAACCCTTATTGTATTTGGGTATGGGTTTTTCAATTGATGGGGTATTCGAAACCCATAGTAGTGTTCTAAAAACCTATCAACCAAACAACAACAATCATTTTCATACCCATTCCTATGGACAAAACTCACCAACCAAACACACCCTCATTCTTGTCAACGAAGATTCCAACATGTTCTCCTTGCTCCAATGGTATAAATAGAGGTCGTCACCTATAGGGGGTGTTTGGTAGGATGAAATTGTAATTTTATTCATACCAAACTCTATTGAATTACAATTCCATGGTTTGGTTAGAAGGAATTGCAATTTCCTCCAACCATGGAGTTGTAATTTCAAGGTGAATTACTATTTTACCATTGTTATTATTATTATAAAGGGCATTTTAGTCTTTATTCTCTTTTTTCATTTCAATTCACAATCATTCTATTTTTACCTACCAAACAATATAATTTGAATTCTCACTTTATTATTTTCTTACGAAATTACAATTTATTTCCCCCTAATTATTAATTCTCTCCTTCCAACCAAACACTTTGTTAGTTTGTTGGAGGAGCTGGTTTTGTTAACTTTAATACATATCTTGATCATTGTAGAGCTTTTTTTAGCTCACTTTACATTACGCCTGAACTTATATTAAGAATTCTAATATAATCAATAATACATTTTCTACAAATTTTAGGTTGTATTATATTTCATTGGAACTCGTATTCTACCTAAAATACTCCGTAGCACATAGGATATAGACGTAATAACACTACCAAATCTGAATGTCAACAATGACATGATATTCACATTGATGGTGAGAATTTTCATATTAAGTCATAAAAAATGTTTTCCTGAAAATATTTATGAGAAATGACTAATTTTGTGAGAATGTTTTATTTTTTAGTGTTTGGTTAAATGTTTGGCTCATTTTCTTGAAAATGAATAGAAATATATAATAAAGTCATTTTTTTTTCAAAAAAATATAATAAAGTCATTTCTTATAAAATATTAGTTATTTTAACATTATTCTCCGCTCCAAAATAAGAAAATTAATTTTGCCAACAAAGAAGCAGAAATCAATTTTAATTTCGTTGAAACCAAAATTGATTTCAGAGTTCGAAATCAATTTTGGTGTTTGTGTTTGAAACTAAAATTGGTTTATGTTAATAGAGGAATATGATTTATGTCTTCAATGAAATTAATTTTTCCTTTCTTTTATAAAGAAATCAATTTAAAAATCAAATGTAGAAAATTTAATTAGTATATACAAACAAACAAAAAAAAAAATCATGATTTGAAGATGAAATTGATAAGAAAAGAAGAAAAACAAAAGAGAGAGAGAGAATACATACTTGAACTTGGTTGGTTTTAATGAAGAGTAAGGCGGTGAGAAAGGATAGTTTAGGGACTCAAGTGTAAGAGAGGGAGAGAGAGAGTCGAGGGAGAAGAGAAAGAGATGAGAGAGACGATAGGTAAGGATAAAACAGAATCAGGTTGCGGATTGGCTTGCTACGAATTGTTGTTCTTCTGAATTTGGTGTGACAGTTCTCCCTCCCCCCCTCCCCCCCAAAGGATCTGTTTGAGTACCTTGAGAAAAACTCTTTTGGGGTTCCATGCCCTCATGGTGATTAGGGAGTCTTTGTAATTTTTGTCTGGGGATTGTCCCTCCTTTTCATCTCACAAAGAGAGATTCATACAATGTCTTCTCGTTAAAAATTTAGGAAGATATTTTTTGTCAACTTGACTTATTTTCTTTTGAATAGAATTGATATTTTTGTTTAACTTTATTTTCTTGGGTCACACAAACACACAAACAAAAAAAATCAATTTTTTTTTAATTTTTTTTTAACTCACCCTTAATATTATATTTATTCTCACTTTTTAATATCATATAATATATAAAAATTGAGTACAATAATTTTTATAAAAAATTATTATCCCAGTGTGTTAATTCAATAAGGAATTGAGAGCATCATTCTCCGACATATATTATGATAGCCGATTAACTTTTCCACGCACTATTATTATAATTGTCTCACTATATATAATTCCTGCCCAAATGGCCAAATGATACAACACTTAATACTAACTATTCCTTTTCAAAAGATTGAACCGTAACCCTAAGGATCCTCACACTCCGACCCGACAGAGTATCAGGAATGATGTAAATTATGATAACTCAACTAAATATGAACTACAAAATTAAACATTTACTTACTACGCACAAAGAGCTCCCTCACTTTAAGAGGTTGTTCTCACACTGCCGCTGATGAGACTCGATCCCTGATCTCTTAATAATAACTATTTATATATATGAGTCATGCTTATATTTTAATTTCTCTTTTTTATTTTCTTTTCCTTTTTCTAATTATTAATTTCATTCTTTTCAAAGGTTGAACCCAAACCCCTGATTATTAATTTCATTGTAGCGTGTATGAACTGTTTCCCTCAATAATGCACTTAACTTTCCAAATTCTTATGATACATTTGTGGGATGAAAATTGAATTTCTGAACTTCTTTATTAATTGTGTCCCCACTCTGATCCTTCCACTAACTTTATTCCAATTATTAGTATGAGAGTAAAGATTAAGGAAGCCTGACAGCACATTAATTACTCTATTTTAACACTTTAAAGAAAAAAAATTATTTTAGAATATTAGACCACATTTTGTCATTAAGTTTAGTGATAGTTCTAAGTTCTTTATTATTAAATTTAAATCATCTCTTTGAATTTTTGAGAAAAAAAAAATTATCAAATAAGTCACCAAAGTAGTGGCAATATATAGTGGGGTGTTCAGTTGATATCATTTCACATAAAAAAGTATTTCATTTTTTTATCAATTAAAAATAATTATAATTGTCTTGAAAGGAATAGTGAAGTCTAATTCTCGTACTAAAAGATCACAAATTTAATTATTAACTGAACCGCTAGAACCACAAAACACCAACATAATTGGAATGTAAAACTGCTTGGATCTTGGAGGTATGTATTGTCATCACACAAAAAAAAAAATACAGTAAAAAATAAAAATTATGTGAGTAGGCAAAGTAGAAAAGTTTTCAAAATATTTTTTTTAAGTTAAAAAAAAAGAAAAAAAAAAAAGATGAGAGAAAGAGCATTGACTTTTTTTATTCCTTCCATCCGTCTCTTCGCCGGCCCCTCCACTCAGTATCTCTTCTCTTCTTTCTTTCCTATATAATGGACGCTGCTTACATACTCTTCTATCCATTCCTATCAACTCTCATCCTCTATGCATTTCTATTCCATCTCTAACCATTTTGCTCCGCCGCATTTGTGATCCCTCGCCGGAATCTTCATCCACTGTCTCTTTCTCCGACCTCCTACCTCCTACCTCGCACATAAACATTTTCAGATCAAACTACAGTCTCATCTTCTTTCTGTCTATGCCCCAAAGCTTCCATTTAATCGCTCCTTAGCCGGAAAATTATAAAAAACTTGAAAAGCATGTAACTTTGGTTAAACCAAGCTCTCTTAGCTTCTCCATCCCCATTAAAAAAAAAAAAAAAAACCCAAAAAAAAAAAATCACTTTCTTGATTCTGCTTTTTGTTTATAGTAAACTTAGTTGATTGAAGGTAGCTAGCTAGAACCTAGAGGCTAAGAAATGCCGGACTGCGAAGATGGGACTCTGACGGCAGCATCGGCGCCGGCCACTCCGGGCACGCCGACACCGCTTTTCACGTCGTTCCGGGTGGACTCGCTGTCTTACGACCGGAAGTCAATGCCGCGGTGCAACAAGTGCCTACCTTTGGACGTTCCGACGTTGGGGACACCCCACACATGTCTCACCGACTGGCCGGCGCCGGATGTCTCGCTCACCCGCAAGGTATACTATACACCGCCTTCTTCTATACATCTTTGCCCTTCTTTCATCTTCATAAACTAATAAGATCAAAATTAGACTTGACTAGTTATTCTTGATTCATAAATACCATGCTTGCTTTTTCAAGATTCCTCCATATAGGTGTCAATTACAATTGTTTTGTAGTTACACAGGTTGTGTAGCTCCCTAGCTAGCTAGAACCATATTTCCATAATATATGCGCTAGGTAAACCAGTCTGTATTTGGTAAATAATTATTAGCGACTTTAATAACTAGCTAATAGAATTAACAAATTGTAGAAAGATGTTTGGTAAATTAATTGTTAGTTGATAACAGATTATATGTAAAATGTATTTTTTTAAAAAACTGTTTTAAGCAGCTTTTTGAATTTTAACCTTTTGAAATTATAAACTAGTTATTACAAAAAGCTGTTTAAGCAAACACTCATATTGGCTGGTTTAACAAGTCAACCAGTTAAACAAGTCAAAATTGGCTATATTACCGAACATGGTTTAAATTTAATTTGCACATAGCTCATGGATTCAAATACTATTATGATAAACCAGCTTAAGTTGTGACCCGCTAAAATTAAGACGGGCTTGATTAGGGGTTCGATCAACTTGTAACTTTTAAGTTGATTGTTTATATTTATCATTTACAAGGGTTGTAATTAAGTGCAGCTTGGAGCAGAGTTCGTAGGGACGTTCATCCTGATATTTGCAGCGACGGCCGGACCCATTGTGAACCAAAAGTACAACGGCGTAGAGACCTTAATTGGGAACGCCGCCTGTGCGGGACTGGCAGTTATGATTGTGATTCTATCCACCGGTCATATTTCTGGAGCTCATCTCAACCCTTCCCTCACCATTGCCTTTGCGGCGTTTCGTCACTTCCCATGGGCTCAGGTCCCCGCCTATATTTTAGCCCAAGTCTCCGCATCCATCTGCGCTTCCTTCTGTCTCAAGGCGGTCTTTCACCCCATCATGTCCGGCGGCGTCACAGTTCCGTCTGTCAACCTCGGCCAAGCTTTCGGCCTTGAATTCCTTATAACTTTTAATCTCCTCTTCGTTGTCACCGCCGTTGCTACTGATACCCGCGCGGTAATCTCAGCAATTTATTCATTTAATATAATCTAATCTCCCCATGAAAACCCTTCTTTCTTAATTAATTATTCTGATCTTTGTTTTTAAACCATTATTAAGGTTGGAGAGTTGGCTGGCATAGCCGTAGGAGCTACGGTCATGCTTAACATTCTTGTGGCCGGGTGAGTATATGTATATATAACTTTATATATATCTATCTCCGTAGAAATTTACAGTGCTTGCAAGCTAGTCACCTTTTAGCTTCCACTTTACTAGTGGTACAATATCATCAAGAACAAGACATGATTGATACATGTCAACTGTACACACTAAAAGATAATCCCTATTGTCTGTAGCATAGCAGCTCAATTGATTCTTGAGTGGTAAATTGTGGATAATAATATTATATTGAGGCTGATGCTTGACAATAACAGTATAAGAGTTACACTTAATGTAGTGGGCTAATATTTTATAAAAAATGAAACTTTAGGCCATCTAGCGGTGGGTCCATGAATCCTGTGCGGACGCTAGGCCCGGCGGTGGCAGCCGGAAACTACGATTCAATATGGATATACTTGGTTGCGCCGACGCTTGGTGCCCTCGCCGGAGCAGCTGCTTACACAGTTGTGAAGCTGCAAGAAGGGGAGGTTGATGAGCCATTGCGCCAGCACCGGAGCTTCCGCCGTTAGAGACGAAACCAATATCATGTGTGCAGTGGGTGTGGGTGTGGGTGTGATGACGATGACGTTCTGGTAAAGGTGTTTAATTTGCTCTCCATTTTCATGCATGTTGCGCCATTGCGGGCGTTGTGATATATACATCTGATCTTGGGAAGAAACCGCCATGTTTTATGCTTTCTTGGTTAGTTACTTCTTGTTTTGCTTTAATTTACAGTTTGTCAATAATAAATGCTTGCTAAGACATCATGTGCACTGTAATTTATATATTTGGATATGAATTATATTCCGTTTGCCAACACGGTAATGGCTTAATTGGTTAATTTTAAAGCTTATCTATGCATGTCTTAATCATGAGATTTAATTTTGTATTGTTTTTTTTTTACTAACCCGGAAGGCCCAGCTCGCAATCATTATTCGAAGGTGTCCCAACTCGTCATGTAACCTGCAAATTAAATAATCACAATGAGATAATCAAACCTAGATCTATTGTAATATCTTCATTTCATTTCAGCAAAGCCACAAACTAGGCTAACATGTATGTGTTCAAAATATCAGTATGGACAGCTCAACTGGTCATAGATGTGAAAAGTTAAAAGAATGTCCAGGTATCGAGTCTCACCAACGACAGTGTGGAAGCTATCTCTCAAAGTGAGGGGGCTCTTTGTGCACAGTAAGCAAAGTCTAGCCTCTGTGGCTCTGGGGGCTCTTTGTGCACAGTAAGCAAAGTCTAGCTTCTGTGGCTCTATGGTTCATGTTCAGTTGAGTTACCATGATCCATGATTTACATTCTTAGCCTCTGTGGCTCTGGGGGCTCTTTGTGCACAGTAAGCAAAGTCTAGCCTCTGTGGCTCTATGGTTCATGTTCAGTTGAGTTACCATGATCCATGATTTACATTCTTTCAAATGCTTTGTTGGGTCGGGGTGTGGGGCCTTAAGATTGGACCTTAGAAGAATGTATGTGTTCAAAATTTAATGAAGACCTGAATGAAACGTAATTAATCAAGCACGCATGCATAAAACATAGCTCTTACAATAATTCAAAGAAAGGGGAAAAAGTCACCTCAACTAAGAATCTTAAGTGGATTAGGCCATACTCACTCATCATGAATGGAAGTATCATAATAGGATGGAACAAGTTTTAAAGCTTTTCAGGATGTCCTCATATGAAATGGGAGCCCATATTTATGCTAGTAGGATAAAAGAGTTTTAATATGTTCAAATTGATCTTTTGATCGATATTATCTAATTAAATAAATTAAATAATATAAATATTATCTAAAATGTACCACGACATAATTGTGTTTAAATTCTTCATCTCAAGAATATATTTAAAAATATTCATATCAATTTTGATATATATGTCAAATTTTAAGTGTCTACACAATTAATATTAACTTGATTAATAATTATCCAAGTGAGAAACAAAAATGAGAATGTATCTTGTGCGCACTAGGTGTATAGAAACTATATACATGTAGCATGTTAATGAATAATGGTACATTTTAATACACTTGTTACTTATCTTTCATATAACATATTTAAAGTAAATGCTTCTTTCAAATTGTTAATTTCTATTACTTTTGTTTTTCTTTTTAATTTTATGTTTTTAATTAATAGGAATGTTTATGCATATGTGTATTATTTATAAGTGATTTTTGAATGAAATTTAGTACTAAGAGTGTAAGAGTAAGTTTGGTTCAAAGATTAGAATTAGAGTTAATTTCACCGGAGTTCCTTTGTTTTTTGTGATAATTTCAAAGAGAAAATTACACTTTTGGTCCTGTGACTATTGTGGTCTTGTTAATTTAAGTACTTGACTTTAAAAACTAACAATTTAATCCTATGATTATGCAATTTTTAACGCATTTGGTCCTGCCGGTCAAATTGCCGGCCAAATATCGCCGAAAAAATATAAATCATTTTTAATTATTTAATCATGGGGGCAAATCGGTCATTTAAGCTCTTCTTCTTTGTTCTCCATCCTTCTTCTTCGTTCTTCTTCTTTTTTCTTGCAGTGATGACCGGAAAGCATCATTGAAAATATATTAACAATTAATAAAACCTTTTCGTGTATGTTAGGTTGTTGCAGTTTTACCATGTCTTTAAGGAATACCCATCTAAGTAACCCTATCTCAAAAATTGGAAATGGTTAGATCAAGAATTTTGCATACCTTAGCTAAAGTAAAGAAAGTTTAGTGGGTGTTTGGTCCAAATTTGAGAGTTTTTAGTAAAAGTAGCTTATCCATTTGGTATAAAAATTGGAACTAGAATCAATAATAATTTTAACTTTTTTGTACTTTAGAAACTCTTTTAAAAAAATTAATTCTCTCCTTTTCATCCAATTCCCATTTCGTTTTTTTTTTTTTTAATCCTCATGGTCGTCATTAGTGATCTTGAGCTCAAGATCATTATTGATGATATTGCCTTCATTTTGAACTAGATCTACTTCAGATTTCTATATTCGCTGCTGTTTTTTATACTCTCTCTCTTAAACCCATTTTAGATTTCTTTAGTTGCGGCTGGCGATTAGGAGTCAAAATCCAGCATTCACACTCGGTTTCTTCAAAATTCTTCATCAGGAGGATGGTGCAGAGGTTCCGATTCCTGAGCTGCTTTCCGACCGTGCTACATGAAGGAAGAAGAAGGGTGGAGAAGGAAGAAGAAGAGCTGAAATGACCGATTTGCCCCCATGATTAAATAATTAAAGATGATTTATATTTTTTCGGCGACATTTGATCGGCAATTTGACCGGAAGAATCAAATGTGTTAAAAATTGCATAGTCACGGGATTAAATTGTTAGTTTTTAAAGTCAAGTACTCAAATTAACAAGACCACAATAGTCACAGGACCAAAACTGTAATTTTCTCTAATTTCAAATTTAGTTTCAGATTATTATTTTTGTCGTTTAACACCCCAGACTATTATTTTTGTACACTTTTAGTCATTCTCATGACTTTTCATATTTTTAGTAAGGTCATTTTTGTCTTTTCATATTTTTCTTTTATTATTTTTTGAGTTTCAACCAATTTAATCGGTTTAGAACTTTAGGTAACCTCTGATTTTTAGTAACTATATTTTTCAACCCGTTTTTAGTAAAGTTCTAAACCAATTAAACCGATTGAAGGTCCACAGGTTCTCACCTGATTAAGGACCATATATATATATATATATATATATATATATATATATATATATATATATATATATATATATATATATATATATATATATAGAAAAACGCTCATATGTGGTCATGTTATTAGGTGTGGTCGTGTGGTCGTATCTGTGTCGTTGAATCAGTTTAATCTAAAGGCTGTGGTAATTCTGAGGATTTTCGCGCGTTTTAGTAAGTGGGGGTGTTATGGTAATTACAATGACCATTTATAGCGGGCGGGTTCCAGAATACACCAACAGTGTTGACAACATACACCAATAGTGTAATAAAACACACCATAGTGAAACACACCAATGGTGTATTCCCGTGTTATGGTAATTACAGTGGCCATTTATAGCGGTCGAGTTCCAGAATACACCAACAGTGTTGACAACATGCACCAATAGTGTAATAAAACACACAACAATGTGATTTTTCTTATTCCGGTGTTTTATTACAAGTTTACCCTTACAGTTCGCTGGGTAGAAGAATGTGCGCGAAAATGCTGAAAAAATCTTGATTAATATGATTCATTAGATCTATCTAATCTAATGGTCTATAATTGACCATATGACCACACCTAACAACATGGCCACATGTGATCACTCCTCTATATATATATATATATATAAAAGTTCCATATTTAATATACGAACAATGATATTTTTATTTATTTATTTTTTATTTTATTGTTCAAAAACATACAAAAATTGACCATATTGGATTTTTTAAAAACACTTTTATTATTATATAATAGCTTAAAAACCTCAAATCAGAGTGGCGTAGCGGAAGCGTGGTGGGCCCATAACCCACAGGTCCCAGGATTGAAACCTGGCTCTGATAGAGTTGGTTTTGACTTTTTTTTTAAATACTTATTTCTTGTAATTTGACTATTAATTTTGTCACATTTACAACACGTTTGGTTCACGGAATAAATTTTGAGGTAATAGGAATGCTATTCCACAAAGAATGGAATAAGCAAGGAATAGAATAAGAATTGTATTCTATTGTTTGGTTCGCGGAAGGAATAGACTTTAGGAGTTATATTACAGTGTTTGGTTGATTTAAGGAATAGAAATGAAATATGTGTGAAAAGACATAAATACCCTTATAAAAATAGGCGGTGGTGGTGGTGGTGGTGGTGGCGGTGGTGGCGATAGTGGTGGCGGTGGTGGTGGTGGTGGCGGTGGTAGTGCTGGTGGCAGTGGTGGTGGTAGTGCTAGGGTGGTAGTGGTGGTGGCAGTGGTGGGGACGACGGTGGTGGTGGTGACGGTGACGGTTGACGGTGACGGTTGTAACAGTGGTGGTGGGGGCGGCGACGGTTGTGGCGGTGGTGGTGGTGGTGGTGGCGGTGGTGCTGCTGGGTGATGGTTCTGGTGGCAGTGGTGGTGGTGGCGGCGGTGGTGATGGTGGTGGTGGCGGTGGTGGTGCTGGGGTGGTAGTGGTGGTGGTGGCAGTGGTAGTGGTGGGGGCGGCGGCGGTGGTGGTGGCGACGACGATGGTGAAATAGGATAAATTTATATATAGGATAAAAAAAATTAGGTTAAAGAAAGGGGTAAAAAAGAAAATAGATTCTAAAATCTATTCCGGAGCGTTCAGTAATAGGCTAATACCAGGGGGCCCTAATAATATCTATTACCTTATTTGAGGTAATAGGCTATTACCAGGAATATTATTCCTGGTAATAGAAATGGTTACCAAACAAATGAATAGGCCTATTACTGGGAATGCTATGCCATTCTCGGCTTATTCCGTGAACCAAAGGGCCATTAATGTACAAGTATGTTTTTGTTGTCATATTTAATCTTGCCAGCCAAATCTTCGACAACTATTCACTGAAAAATACAATCTTTGTCTCATTCAGGCTTGTTTTATGGAAAAAAATCATCGATTCAAATCTAAATATACAACACTATTATTAAAATTTGCCCTTGTAGCAACTAGCAACTCTATATATATATGAGGAAAATTTTTTATTTTCTAACAAGTGGTTATTAGAGATTTGGTCAGTTAGACTAAATATGACAATAAAAGTATATTTATGCACAAAATGTGACCAAATTAATAATTAATGATTAATTAAATGTAAGAAATAGATACTATCTCGTCAATAGACCAACAATTTGTTGGATATTTATATTGTAAATGCGTGTTTGAGTATCTCAAACATGTTATTAAATATAAAATTATACTTGATATATTGCTAGGCATGACGCAAAGAACTATTATTTGCAATAGCAATTTGAGACTGTGAACAACAACAAGGTGTTACTGTTTGCAACCCCAAATTATTGTTGCGAACAGTAGTTCGCTATTCGTAGTAACCTGTTGTTAAATATATATATATATATATATATATATATATATATATATATATATATATATATATATATATATATATATTACAAATATAAACATAAAAAGAATAAAAATCAAAATATATAAGTATTTATATTAATATTATGAAACATATATTAAAATTTGACGATGAAAAATTTGCTTTGTTCATGTATTTAGGGAGAATTAGAGAAAGTTAGGGATAAAAAATTAATAAAAAAATAAAAATTCATATAAATAAGCAATAATGAAGTAAAAATAATATTATTTTGCATTTTTAGAGGGAGATTGTAAAGTTTAGGAAGATTTTGTTTTTTGTTTTTTAATATTTTTAAGAGTTAATTTCAGCAATAGTCCTCCGACTATAGTGATTTTCCAAACTTAGTCCCCGACTTTTAATTTGGACACTTTAGGTCCCTTGACTTTCAATTTATTTTCAATTGAGGTCCTTTCGTTAGAATACGGTTCATTAGACTTTAAATGAAGGGGTAAACTCGTCCTTTCACATGCCTATGTATTATTCTTCGTATTTCTCCCTTCGTATTTTGCTGTTATACCTTGTAAACATCTCAATAATAGAGGAACGCACATACGAGTAGTCAGCAAATGGGGAACGACGGGGAACATTTTAGGGTTTCGACTAAGATTATCTTCATATATATCGCGTATACAATGGAGAAATGCTAAGAATAATACATAGGCAAGTGAAATGATGAGTTTACCCCTTCATTTAAAATTCAATTAACCGTATTCTGACGAAAGGACCTCAATTGGAAAGAAATTGAAAGTCAAGGGACCTAAAGTGTCCAAATTAAAAGTCAAGGACTAATTTTGGAAAATCAATATAGTCAGAGGACCATTGCTGGAATTAACTCTTTCATTAATAGGAATGCTTATGCACATGTGTATTATTATAAGAGCAACCACAATAGTGGATTTTATTCAATTTTAAGGAGATTTCGCTAAAGTGGAAGAGAGATAATGATGAGAGGGAAGGTTTTTGAACTTCGACATTGGTTTTTGGTCTCTGAAGTGGGCTATACCAAAACAAAGAAGCAGTGTTGTTGGGCGCGTTAACATACATTGAGGCGCCTAGTCGGGTGCGTTAACATGCATATATTTTTTACAAATTTTACTTTTCAATTTTTTCCCGATCCCTTGCCCTTCCCTCTCATCTTCTCTTTTCTAATTACACCTGCAAATACTCTTCAAAAATTACAACTATCGAGAATGCTCTAAGAGATTTTTGAATGAAAACTTATACTAAGAGTAGGTTTGGTTCAAACATTAGAATTAGAATGATAATGAGAATTTTTTAAAAGAATGATAATGAGAATCACATTTTGTTAGAATTAGAATTAGAATGATAATGAGAATCACATTTGGTTATCATAATTTTATGAGTAAATATTCAAAATGGTCCCTCGACTATAGCTAAATTCATAAATTGGTCCTCAATTTTCAATTTCAACTAATTAAGTCCTTAACTTTGCAATTTTGACACGATTTGATCCTCCATCTATTTGACCGTTTGTTGACCGTGATCGACGATCTTCAGAAGAACCTTCAGGGGTCGTTTGGTTCACGGAATGTCAGATTACCTTAGGGAATGTTAGATTGGTGGGAATGTTAGATTACTGGGAATGTTAGATTCCTGTGTTTGGTTAAAATTGGAGTATGTAATATAATCCTGTTTGGTTTAGGGTTATCTTCTATACACACTATAATATCCTTAACATATTTTCATATATTTTAATATATTTTAAAATTAAAATAAATAAATAAGATAACGGTATCATATATAATTACATGATTTTAAAATATTAACTAAAATCTTGAACTTGAGAAACAAAATTATTTTATATGCTAACATAACATAATAAAAATTAAAAAATATATAATTACAAATACATACACACATATATATATATATATATATATATATATATATATATATAAAATAATAATAATAATAATAATAATAATAATAATAATAATAATAATAATAAACTAACATAACCAAGGTTATCTTACATTACCTAAGATTTTGAAGGAATCACATTCCCTTCAAAATCCTATGTGGAGGGAATGTGACATTCCTTGGGAATGTTAGATTCCCTAAGATAATATGAACCAAACACCGGAATGTGAGTTTTGGAATGTCACATTCCCTTGGTTATGTTATATAACCTGAACCAAACGCCCCCTCAGCTCTCGTCGGAGCACGTGGAAGCCTCTAGGATGACGTTGCACCGGTTCGGAAACACGTCGTTTTCTTCGCTCTGGTACGAACTCAACTACATTGAATCCAAAGGAAGGATGAAGAAAGGTGACCGGATTTGGTAGATTGCTTTCGGCAGTGAATTTGAATGTAACAGTGCGGTCTGAAAATGCAACCGGAACCTTAAAAAACCAATGATGGACCATGAAATTACATATATATCCTCAAAAATCATAGTCAACAAACGGTCAAATAGACAGATGACCAGATTGTGTTAAAATTACAAAGTTAAGGACTTAATTAGTTGAAATCGAAAGTCGAGGACCAATTTGTGAATTTAGCTATAGTCGAGGGACCATTTTGGGTATTTACTCTAATTTTATCCATGGAAACATTAAAAGAATAAAATTAAATAAGAATTTGATTAATTTAAGTGGAGTTTATAATAAGGACCGAATGGAATTTTTTGCACTTTTAGTCCCACGACTATAGTGGCACTGGCGGAATTGATCCATGACTTTTGAACCTTGCAATTTTAGTCCATGACTATTGTTTTTTTTGCAAAAATGGTCCTTCTGGCCACTTTTCCGTCAAAATTTCACCGGGAAAAAAAAATTCTCTATTTTTATCCGGGTTAAAATTGACATTTTACTTATCTCAAAAAATTAAAAGAAAAAATTGATATTTGACTACATACAATATTACTGGGCTACATACTACTGCCGCAGGCGGCGGAGTACATGTACCACTCCAATGCTGCTGCCGGATAACCTAACTAGCCCGGGGAACGCCACGGCCGCTCCGTCGCTTACTGACAGCCCTGCCTGCTCTAGGAACTCCGCCGCCTGGGGCGGTAGTATGTAGCCCAGTAATATTGTATGTAGTCAAATATCAATTTTTTTCTTTTAATTTTTTGAGATAAATAAAATGTCAATTTTAACCCGGCTAAAAATGGAGAATTTTTTTTTCCAGTGAAATTTTGACGGAAAAGTGGCCGGAAGGACCATTTTTGCAAAAAAATTAGTAGTCGTGGATTAAGATTGCAAGGGTCAAAAGTCGTGGATCAATTCTGCCAGTGACACTATAATCGATGGAATTAAAAGTGAAAAAAAACTCGGACAGAATGTATGCAATAAAATATAGGAGTAATAAAGAAGACAAATATATCCATTGTGATGAAAAAAGGTGGATCGCGGTTGGATATTTGGATTCTCAGTACGCCTTATCAGTTATCATCCACGCCCACCATTAATGCCTTCAACTGAATACAATAGAATAGAATAGACTGTCACAACTAACCGGCCGCTGTTCCCCCATCTCCGGCGACCTCTATCAATAGGAAATGCTTAGCACCGCCATTCTCTCCGCCGCGTTCTCTTCTTCAGCTCCCGTCTTACCACTATCCAATTCCACTGCATTACATTCCTCTTCCTCTGTAACTAGACATTTGAATCTTCCTAGTCTAGCAATCGGTAGCAAATGCTTCAGACCGAATTCGCAGCGTTTGCGTGTCCAGGCTTCAATGTCATCGTCCCCGTTGATCGAAAAGGAAACGGCCGAGGCAGAGCGCCCCCCGACTTTCCTGCGAGAATCTGATAACGGCGCCGGGAATGAGTCCACCACCGTGAGGGCTCGTTTCGAGAAGATGATTAGGGAGGTCCAGGACAGCGTCTGCTCGGCGTTGGAGGCCGCGGATGGAGGAGGCAGCTTCAAGGAGGACGTTTGGTCCCGCCCCGGCGGTGGCGGCGGGATCAGTAGGGTTTTGCAGGACGGGGCCGTCTTTGAGAAGGCCGGTGTAAACGTCTCCGTCGTTTACGGCTTAATGCCTCCCGACGCCTATCGAGCTGCCAAGCCCTCCACCGACAACGGCAATACCAAGCCCGGCCCTATTCCCTTTTTCGCTGCTGGGATTAGCTCTGTAAGTAAACCTTCCACATCCTTAACTTATTAAGTCTCTGATGAAAATTGAAATCAGTTCTAATGTTGTAATATTTTGATTAATCCTCAGGTTCTGCATCCGAAGAACCCTTTTGCACCAACTCTGCATTTCAACTATCGGTATTTTGAAACTGATGCTCCAAAAGGTAATAAGTCTCTTCAATGTAAACATATTTGATGAAGAAACAATCAAAGATTTTACTTTACTTATCAACAACATTTTGAAGTCCACTAGCTATGACCAAAATAATCATAAAGTAGTCTATCTTTTTATATTAGAATTAGAAATTGTAAATAGCATGAAAGCATTGACCTTGAAACCCTAGAGAAACCAGGGATGTTCCTTCAACGTCTTCATGAGTTACTAGAACTAGGCATTAATGCATGATTCCAGAAATTTATTATGATCAGTGTACTTACTTAATGCTTGACCATATCCAAATAATGAAACTATCCCTTATTTATCTTGTGTGCAGATGCTCCTGGAGCACCAAGGCAGTGGTGGTTTGGTGGCGGTACTGATTTGACACCTGCTTATATTTTTGACGAGGATGTAAAGCATTTCCATTCGGTAAAGTGCATATATGAGGATGAATAAGTTTCTTTTTAATAGAATTTGTCACTAAAATTTCGACAAATATCAAATATGCTGTAAGGTATAACAACAGAAAACTAATGTTTCTCTTTCACCTCTTATAATTGCACTATGTGCAACAACTCAACAAGTTGAGTACAATGAGAGAGAAATAGAGTTCAATTTATTTGCATTTAAAAGTGAAAGCTTGTTGCTTTGAGGATAGGGTAGCAAATCAATCAGCTGCATAGGTTTTGTATTTGAAGAACAAACAATTTGTTAGGATTGCTTAGATTTTATAGAAAATCTGTTTAGTAGTATATTTTTACAAGACATCCATCTTCTCATTTTATTTATGTTTTACTCTTTCTTTACTAATTTAATTTTAAATTCTCTATCCTTTAGAAAATTTTCTTAATCTTGAATGTGTCCAGATATACTCTGTAGTTGTTTACCTCCAAAATACAAATGAAATGATACATATATTTCTTTGTATATTCAAACAATAAATCTCTTGAAGATATTGTCATTGGCTTGGTTGTTAGGTTCAAAAAAGTGCCTGTGACAAGTTTGATCCCAGCTTCTATCCTCGATTCAAGAAATGGTGTGATGATTATTTTTACATTAAGGTATGTATTTCATGATCTTGTGCTTGTTTTAAAATAATCGCACCTTATTAATTTCACTATGAAAGCAAATCTGTTATCCAGCAAAATAGTGTCGACATTCATTTGCAAAGTTCTATGAACCTTCATGTATTCGTGTATATATCCTTTCAACTGTCATTGATTTACAAAGTTTGCTTATATGTAGCAATCCATGTTATTCACCTTCACAACAATATTGTTACACCCAACTACCCAAGTTAAGTAGTCCATCTCACACCTGCAGAAAAAAAAATCAATGTTTGGTTATGCATAAGAAATGTGAGAGAGTGTGAATTTTTCGTTTAGGATCCTCTTCAAAAAAACCATCAGTATAATTCTGCTATAGTCAGCATCTTACAATGGCTTACTGTAAATCTCCATAGTGCCTCAAAACTCCAGAAAGAATTTGCAGTGCTGTTGACATCCCTACAGTTGTCAAAAATATTCGATGTCTATTTCTGCCTAAATGACTGAAGATTGAAATCTTAAAGAATGAATGCCTAAATGAATGAGTAGGACAGGACTGAATTGCTTTCTCTTGCCCTTCTGGTTCGATAAATAGGTCTCTGAGCCGGTTTTAAGTAGGAATTAAGACAATCCCCACCATTCCCCTAAAATTCCTTTTCACTGAAAGTATATAAGTATTGTTATATTAAGCTAATCTATGGCACGATTTCAATGTTTTATGCAGCACCGTGGTGAGAGGCGTGGTCTTGGAGGAATATTTTTTGATGATTTAAATAACTATGACCAAGATATGCTTCTTTCCTTTGCTACAGGTAAATTTGCTTGTAAGGACTTGGGCACGGCCTTTCTTTTCCTCAAATATGAGACAAGCTTGCAAACCAAAATCCCATATTAAGTGGTGAATTGAACAAAAGAAATAAATAAAACATGAGATGGGGAATCAAAATTAGCTTTATTTAATTGTGCATTTTTGGATTGCAGAGTGTGCAAATTCTGTTATTCCTGCATATATACCCATTATAGAGAAGAGAAAGGATACGCCATTCACAGCCAGTCACAAGGAATGGCAACAAGTACGTAGGGGACGCTATGTGGAATTCAACTTGGTATGAAATTCAGCTCCAGTTTCTTCAAGTTCAATTTTTACAAGCATTTTATAACTTTAAGTGTTCTACTTTGAATTGAAGGTCTACGATCGTGGAACTACATTTGGACTGAAGACAGGTGGTCGGATAGAGAGCATCCTTGTTTCACTTCCACTAACTGCTAGATGGGAATATGGCCATGTAAGTCTACCTCAACTCTATTCTTTCATCTCTTAGAAATAAAAAGCAGAAATAATCTCAATCACAAGAAATTGCCACCCATTGCAGCAACCAGCAGAGGGGACTGAAGAATGGCGACTATTGGATGCATGTATCAACCCTAAGGAATGGATCTGAATGCTTCAAAACATTTTGGTGTAGGTATGTAAAGCTCTGAGACTGCCTTGTTTTCTCTGCCTGTGACACGGTCAAGCGCTTCTCTTTCTTGATCTTACTACATTCATTAGTTACATAGGCTGATGGAGACATGACCTGTTTCAAAGATAGCTGTAAATTGTTTCATGAGGTGAGGTTAGGTTAGGTTTTGTGATAACACAAAAACACACCTCACAACCAAGATGGATGGATAGAATCAGGCAGGAAGAAACACTTGGATACATTAATATGCTTCATTCTTGATATATATAAAAAAAAAAAAAAAAAAACAAAAAAATTACAGACATTAATACATTATTGGCCACTCAAATAGGATTACATCATTTAACTAATCCCCACTGGGAATGAGTTCACAGTTTTTACATCATATCCAGATCAAGCTATATAAATCAACATATGCAAACATCTCCATCCTTCAAGCACCTAATGTATACTAGAAAGAGTGAGATCAGAAGAACCAACCCCCCTTTTCTGCTGGATATATAACTCCCTTCTTTTCTGCTTCATACATATGGAAGAGCTACAACAGGTTTGTTCCGTGAAAAAATGACCGGAATTCTGCTCTACCTTTTGATTGGGTTAAATGATACGCTGTAAACCTATATCACTCTAGTCATAATATGCCTATACATAAAATAGGTGGTACGAAAAAGATGGCCGCAAAACTGACAAATGGAAGAAACTCAATCTCAAGACCAGAGGCATTCAGCCAGAAAAAGGTCAGGCACGTATTCCTTTACCATTCCGGTATATGCCAGGTTCAAAGGATCCATTTGTGAGCTTGGTTCCATTTACATGAGGCCGGAATGGCTTTTTTGCCGAATTGTTTACAACTCCATTTGGCACACCCTTCTTTAGATGGGCTTCCAGTTGTCCGCTTGCTGCAGCTATGAGTCCTGTTTTAAATGAGACAAGTACGACAATGTTTAGGAAAAAAAGTTGGCCTGGTGTTGTCATTCTGGTACAGAAACACAAGACACCAAAGGTGAGGTTCAGAGAGAATATAGATCTACCTAAGAAGAGAGCGGAAGGTTTTCCAGGTCTTGATTTGAACTCGGGATGAAATTGAACACCAACAAAGTAAGGATGTTCAAGCAGTTCAACAATCTGCAAAACAAAGATATCAAATGCCAACTTAAAACAGCCTGAATAAAGTTAGTCGCCAATTTCTGATTGTATTTGAAAAAATATACCTCCATGCGGTGACCAGTGTCATCTTTGCCTGTAAAACATAGACCAGCAGATTCAAGCTGTTCTACCATTTCAGGGTTTACCTAGGCAACAGAGAACAATTTCTTTAGTAAAAAAGAACCTCATCTGAGCATTTACAATCACTCTCAACTATGCCATAACAGAAACAAAAAGTGAGAAGTGAGATGTACCTCATATCTGTGGCGATGTCTTTCATCGACAAATTTCTTACTTCCATATCTGGCAACAAAATACAATTTTATCATTGAAGAGATAGTATTGAAACAGGTTGCCTTAATCTGTTTTGTTAGAAAATCAAATGCTTTTAACCCCAATCCAATAGAGAAAGTAGACATACAATTTTGCAGATTTAGAGTCTGTGACCTGAAAATATGTCCTCCTAGACCCTAGTCGCATAGTCGCTCCCATATGAGTTTTTGATCCCTGATGATGTAGAAAAAAACTTAGAGTGCTAGAACACCAATATTACAGCAATCACCATTGTGACATAATATAACAAATACTAACCTCTGGCATAAAGATAACAAAGGGATTCTCTGTGTCAGGTTCAAACTCGGTGCTGTTTGCATCTTTGAAACCAAGAACAGATCGAGCAAACTCAATTACTGCGATCTGCATTCCTAGACATATTCCAAGGTAAGGAATTTTGTTTTCACGAGCATACTTAGCAGCAAGTATTTTACCCTCCACACCTCTGTCACCAAATCCTCCAGGAACGAGTACAGCATCTGCACCCTGTGGGGCAGTTCTAAGTAAGCTTTTGGACATACAATTGAAAGCACATAGCCACAAGAAACCATTCCTATAAAGCATGATTAGGCAGTGTAACTGAACAAACCTTCAATAATTTCCAGGCATTCCTATAATTATCAGGACTCTGCAAATAGGAAATGGTTATGAAACTTGACAGATCATAAAGGAACGATTGAAACTGAGGTAGATAAGGTATCTGAAAATACCTCCTTTTCGGTAGCCTCTTCAAGGTCTCCAGCTGGAACCCAATCTATACAAAGTTTCCTGTGGCAAGCAACAGAAGCATGCAAAAGAGCCTGCAAACAATTTTTAATGTTTTATATATTGACAGAAGAATGAGAAAATATATGGAAGTAAACATTTCCTCAAATGTTTGCCAACTAAAAGGAAGATTTAAAAATAGACAGTAGCAGTATCAACCACAAAACAATCTAAATTAGAGTGTTTGTATAGGTTATTGCTAACTGATGAAGAATTGTATTTTGAACTGCTAATTCTTTATACATTTATCTATGCACACACTTAACCTATTTTGTAAAGTTAGCATGCATATATGCAGTAAGAATGAGCAGTTCAAGCAAATCTTCATTTAGGGGGTTGGCAACGCTCGAATGACATTGCATCAAGGATAATAAGTTAATTCACAAAAGCAAGAATAGGAAGACCAAATAGTATTCAGTCAGCAGCTCTAAAGGGCAAACATGCCAAAGAAAAAGGACAAGAAAGGAGAATGAAGAAGAAAGAGAAGATAGTCACACCTTATTGCACTTTTAAATTTCAGTTTAGAAAGCAAAGTTAAGTAACTAACCTTAAGAACAGAGAGATAAGAATCTGAGAGGCCAGTGTATTTTCCAACCATGGCAACCCTAACCTGTTAAGCAGATAGCAGTATAGCACAAAGTTCAAAATGACGAAAACAAATAACGTGGATCTCATTCAACAATAAAGAAATTCCTGGAACATACTGGCTCATGTAACATATCGCAGAGTTTAGCCCTAGATGTCCAGATCTTCAAGTCAGGTTCCTGAGCAACACTGCAGACATAAAAGAAGGAAAGCATCAGTAGAGAGGATTGACAACTAAAGACAACAACTCCTAACTAAAACCAAATAAAAGGAGAAACAGATCCATCACAAAGAGAGTTGAGCTGATTAGACTAACCCTTTAAGGTTCAGAACACGCAACATTGCCTTATGTGCCTTCTGGTCCTAAAACAAGAAAAGCAAAGCTTATGAGTGCTTGATATAACAAAATGTAAAGCAATCATTAAATGTACATTGTATCTTCTGCAATCACTTACTCTTAAAAGCAAAGGAATATGCCAGATGTTTGAAACATCATATAGGTTAATAATGTTCTCAGCCTGGGATTGGAAACAATATTAAAACCTCAGACACACATACGCATAGTCTCTTACAAATGTAAACCATATATACAATCATAATTATGTATATTAAATGTTCTAATCTCATACCGGAACATGGCAAAATCGGGAAAGTTTATCCTTGACATTCTCATCAAGTTCCTGATAAAATAGGAAACCAACATCAAAACCTGATCATGATATATCAACAAAATATGCACAAGCATGTGTTGCTCGCACAACAGTATAAAAGACACACATGGAGAGAGAGAGAGAGAGAGAGAGAGAGAGACCGTTGCGCTGCGGCATGCTAAAATATTTGGTGTCAATCCCAGGCTTCTCAATCCCCTAACACTGTGCTGAGTTGGTTTCGTTTTCTAAAGATTTGAATACAAATACGATTTTCACAATCAGGTGTTCAGAATGTGAATTATTTAAAAAAGCACAAATAATAATAACAGTGAAATGAAAAATCACATTTACCTGTTCACCAACCACATTCAGAACTGGCACAAGGCTGACATGTATCAGGCAAAAGTTTCCAGCACCTAATAAGCACAAGAATTGTTATGTAAAAAGCCAAACCAGCTAATCTAGAATTTACTTTGAATTGGAAGAAAGAGATTTATTTTGGGCAGTAGTACAAGCTATCATTCAAATCTGGAAGCATATCTTCTCTAAACAGTAAAATTCAAGTGCATAATCTTACCAACACGATATGAGAATTGTCCTAAAGCTTCAATAAATGGCATTGATTCAATGTCCCCTGGCATAAGGAGAGGAAGTTCTCAGACCAAGCAATAAAATGAAATAATTCATGGTGCACCATGTGAAGAATAATTGTTAGTATACCTATGGTGCCACCCAGTTCTATGACACAAACATCAGCTGGGCCATCTTTTCCATCAACAGGAATGACTGCTACGCGTTCAATCCATTCTTGAATGGCATCTGTTATGTGAGGGACAACCTAACAAGGGAAAAAGCATATAAAAATAACACTAAATAAGATAAAGCCCTAAACCATGTATTGTATATATATACGTGTGCATATATATATATATATATACACACACACACACACACACTCTAAAAGTAAAAACAAACCTGAACAGTGGTTCCCAAATAATCTCCTCTTCTCTCCTTATCAATAACAGCCTATGCAAAACAAAGAAACAATTTCTCTTATTATTATTATTTTGATAAGTACTCAAATTATTACATGGTCAGCCAAAGAAAATATAAGAATTCAAAGAAGCAATAAACAGTAGAAGTTTCTGAGATAAACTTTTGAGGTTAAGCACATGCCTGGTAAATTTTTCCAGTAGTTATGTTGTTGTCACGTGTTAGCTTAATATCTAGGAAACGTTCATAGTTCCCAAGATCAAGGTCAACCTGAAAAAAGAGAGGGAAAAATGAGAGCAAATGTTTGTGTTTCCATCAAAGAAAAAACATGTACAGAGTATTTTATATTCCCCCCAGGTCACTTTATCCTAGGTAGAGATGAAAGCATGGAACATTCATATATAACCAAACCGAAGAGAAGGTATACACTACTAATTCTGAGTAGATTATATTTTTTAAGTTGAGTCAAGAAGAGTTGTATTATGCCCTCCCAATAGTTGATTAGAATGCGAATTTTCTCTGGATAACAGAACACATCTACCAAGGCACTGCCGTCCAACAAATCAGTGAGCTCCTTTTAGCTTTGTCCCATATTTAAGGGGATCTATCAAGTTAGATCCCACTATGAACAAAGAACTTAAATCTCATGAAACAGAATCAAATTAAATTCGAAACTTTAATTTTCCTTCATCCCTCTCCAAATTTGCATGCATGACATATCTTTACAGTATTCTTAAAAAAGATGCTCTTCTCACCTCACCACCATCATCCAGGACATATACTTCTCCATG